CGTAAGTAAGTAAAACTAAATAAGTGTGTTGTTGTTTCTTCTGTGTATATATATATATATATATATATATATATATATATATTCAGGTATAGAGAAATTAGCCTCAAGCAGTACCTTCCATATTTGGTGTACTATTTTATACATGTTACAAGATTGTCCCCCCTTTAATGTTTCCTTAACTTTCTTATTTGGGATACTGAGAGAGAACTATTTTAGTGTTTCCACAAACCTGGGTAATGCATGCACTCTGATAGAGTTAACCCTATTCAATATAATGGTTAGCTCTATCAGTCTAGATCACATTTTCATCCAGAACTTCTCAAAAAGTTTCTTGAACAAGAGCGATGTCATCCAAAGTTTTGGACGATCAGTAGTTTTAACTTCTTGTTGCTGTATTTCCTGCCATTCCTCTTGTTATTGCACTTACTATCTTTATCAGTAATGTTATCAGAGGATCTACAAATACCAATATATCAATTCTTAGCAAACTCTAGCTAATACAATAGCTGAACTCCAAGTGATCAGTAATGTTATCAGAGGATCTACAAATACCACACATAAATACCAATATAGCAATTCTTAGCAAACTCTAGCTAATACAATAGCTGAACTCCAAGTGAAACATGCCACAAATTTCCATGATATAACAAATAACGATATTTCCAAAGTCTCAACAAATTTATCTAAATATGATGTTTTTGCAGAAAGAACATTATTTTTTATATTTTCATCATGACTTTAATCCCACCTAATTTGGGGTCAGCCATTATTTTTGTAAGCCAAGAATTTTTTTCCACCTGGGTGGATAATCCAATCAGCAATCATATACGATGAGTATGTTCGAAGATGTGGATTTTAATTCACAACTCTCAGATTGCAAATCAAGCCTCATAACCATTAGGTCATGCCAAACCCAAGAAACTATACAAAGAAAAAAATTACTAAAAAAACAGTATGAAATAAATTCTTCACAATGTAGGAATAAACTGGATTGGTGTGACACCAAAATAGAAGTTAACAAGGAATTTAATTTCATGCAAGAGGTCTAATATTTGTCATGTTACAAAACGTGCTAAGTAGATTTTAAACTGTGATGTATGCCAAATGAAAAGCCAAGAGAAAATTATTAACTTCTGAACACAGGTAAGTTCAATATTTAAGATCTTACAAATACCTCTGTTCAATGAAAAATATCATAGCAATACAAGTTCCATTTTTATATTGATATTTATTCATGTTTTGGACAGTCTACAATCAATAGACCTGCAGCATGTATTGCAACACAATAATTCTAAATAGTGGTATCACAGCAATAAATTTGTTAGGTCTGAAGAAAATAAAAGCTAATCACAACTGACTGATGTAGTCAAGTATTCAAATATTCAAGTAAAATAATAATAATAATAAAAGACATTCTAATAATAAAACTTTGGCAAATCAGTGTAATATGAAAACAAAACACAACTTACTTTCTGCACATTTTACACCGAGTCATTTCTGCTCTTCCAGTACATTGCCGGTAGGCTTTTCCACAAAGAGGACAGGCTATTCCTTTATTTCTCTGCTGGTAACAGCTGTCACAAACAGTGTAGTTTCTATGCCACCTAGAACTTAGGCCGTTGCCAGGAGTGCGAGAGCCACAGTCTCCACATACACGACAGTTCTTGAGTTACACAACAAAATTTCAGTTAGGTCCAGAAATTAAAACAGTCAGAAGTAGGGTTACCTTTTATTTACATTTTTCAAATTTATAAAGACACAACTTTTTATGTGATATGCTAAAGCAATTTAATAAATACATCCATAATATCCATCTGTTTAGTTCCCTGAAAAGTATGTGGCAAAAAAGAAAAAATCCTTAAATAAAATGCATTGCATTGCTATAATAAATATTATTACATAATATTTATTATATAAATTACCATAAGAAAAATTTACTTTCAAGTTTGTGAATGTGAAAAACAAATATGTATGTCAGTTTTTTTTTTTCACCGTGTATATTTTAATGTTCCAAGTTCGTGAAAGTAGAAGCTTTTTATGACTAATGTGGAAATAAGTTATCATGATTTTGTAACACCACAGAACAATATGTTGATAATTACATCTAATTAGCGACAACAAACAAGGAAAATATTTTGTAGTTGTACAAAATCAATTGTTAAGATCGTATTCACATTTGAAAATTAATTATAACTTACATAAAAAGATACCAAAGTGAGTGATTTCATAAATTAATATTAATCTGTGAAATCCTTATCCTCTTACTCTTGGAAAATTGGTAGGATTTAGACGCTATTACTGCCATTATTATGTCTATTCAAAACATAATTGTTTTAACCAACAATATAATTTATTTTTAATCCTGTAGGTAGTTTTAGTTGTTTAACTCTTTAGGTTTGGTAGGCCAAAGTGCACACATCATGAATTTTCTTTTTTTCTTCATTGAAAATTACCCATTTTAATTATTCTTTCTATTCCTATATGATATTTTGAGTTTGACACAAATTACATACTTACAGTATAGGTATTGCTAGCTACATAGTAAATTTATAGCCTTGAGGCTTCTCGCTTTACAAAGATATAAACAAGAAAATCAAACCCACTTCCTATCACAACAAGTCTTTCAAAAAATGTCTAATTCTCTTAGACATTGCTAACAGTCATATTTATAATCAACTAATTGTACACTAGACAGATCACATGAACATCTGTTTTGTTTGAGTCACAAAAATCAATAACTTGCTATCAGAGCTCAAGGGATTTGCATCAAAGGAATCAATATGAGAAGTAATGAAATTTGTAACAGCAGATTTTGTACAATCTAACAAAGTGAGTGATGAGTTTTTGGTTTTATGAAATTCATATTTGAAAGCTACATGAAATATCTTTTGGATAACAACATAGTAGTAATTTTAAGTTTTTAGACTTACACTTACCTTACATTTCCACCCATTTTTCGGTATACTGTTCATTACAGGGAGCATACAGTGTGTGTGATAACCTTTATCACAGACATCACAAACAAGCATTTTATTATTGTGTCCTGGATTCCTGCACAAAATATTAAATTGATTGATTCTTTCACCTCTATGGCAATTCACAAATCTACAGTTTCTAAAAAAAGATTCTTCACCAGCACATGGTAATATGTTTCAAACAATTTGTGGTAAAAGAAAAGAAGAAGAAAGTTAACAAATACATCATAAGAAGTAAACATTATAATCATCACAGTAAGCAATAAAGTTACAGCCTTTTCCACTCCAAAATAAAATCAGAATGAACAAGCAGTATTAATGTTTTATACCAATGGGATATTAGGTACAGATAAGAACAAAATTCTGATTTTCATGGCTTTCTAAAACAATAGTTCTGGGCAGTGTTGGTTGTTAAAACTAAATACACATTATTGTAAAATGTTTCAACATGAATCAAAAAATATAAAAGTGATGCTGTAATTTGATATATTTCTTATTTCATCATGCAAAAATCATTTTCAAATATGATATAAACTTTATTTAACAAAATTCTTTAAAAAAATTAATAAATACAGGATTTACTGAAACTTGCTATTATTACTTAACTTGATGTAATAGGACCTGGATGTTTTGCACATCATGATGTTTTAGTTACTTTCAAAATTTAAACACCTTTATTATCAATGTGTGTCAATAAAATTAGCATCAGAATGTAGTTTATGACTCGATTTTTTATAGTAAGTTTAAATTTCTAAATTAAAAAAATTTTTTTTTAAATTATCAGTTTTCACTTTTGTTGTCATATGACGTGCGAGAGCTCTTTAATTTTCACCTCAAAGTTTGTTTAACTTCAATCTTATAGCATCTACACTATCTAAGGCACGTAGACACAATTTGGAAATAGTTTCAAAGTCCAACATACAGTTACAACATCCTAACTTCTCCATTTAGTAGGATATAAATAAATTTTCTGACCCATGACAAAACACTTTCCCATCTATCCATAAATATCAAGGCAGTTTTCAAAACTAGATGATTTTATTAGACATATATGTTTATAACCAATAGAAAGAGCATATTTTTTTATTTCAAGCTTGCAATAGTCCTTTTAAAACTGGTATCAACAGACATTAGACTAGAGGTACCGATTGTTGGCATTTAGGAAGTAACGCACATGCTAATAAAATTTCTTTAACCTATTTATAGTTTAGTTAGAAAGCCAATTAAATTAGTTATTTTTTGACATTCTATCTTAGTGATTTATGTATTATTATGTTTTAAAATGCATATTTTAAAGGTGCATAATTATTTTTTTGTCAAAGAATTTAGAGATAATTTTAATAAGGCTTATGCCTTCCCACTGTTATGTGTTGCTTTTCATAAATGAATTAACAGGATGTCATACAGGCCAGGCAATAAAACTATAAAATCAAAAATAAACTACATGAAAAAATAAATAGTTAAAACTGTGAATATCACCAACTTAACAAAGGAGAAAAAGTATGTTCATTTTATTTCATAATTTTCAAAATTTCATTTCACTTAAATTTATGATTCAGCTACAGTTAGTGTTATGGTAGAAACAAATATTAGGTGAAATATAAACTTTTACCTTAACAAAACTTTGATTTTTATTTAGGTTTTTTTTTTTAGAGATTACTTAAATGAAATATGCAAACCGTACAATGAAACGAGATATTTTTTATCTTAGCATGAAAATCACCTTGCATTCAGACTATTCAGAGTCCGACTGACTTCTGTAAACTCAAAAACCAATTTTTCTCAAAAACAATTTACTAAAAAAAAAATCTGAGTTTTTTATGTGCAACAGATTTATAATGATTACTTAAAGTTTGCCAAACTTCATGAAGATGCAGTTATAGTATATATAGTTAAATGGTTATGTGTGGTTACAAGATCAGTCAAAATGATCAAGCCCTAATATATATAAGGTTAAACTACTATATCAAATAAATAGCAATTCTGTTCATTATAAACTTTTAAACAGCTATATATGCAAAATTGAGGATCATGATTATCGTTGCAAATTAATTTTAGTAACCACGAGGTTAAAAATAACAAGTCTCATGAACACATCAAACATATAACAAAATGCAATCAAGTTAGATTATTTAAATCATAAGTTAACACTACATTACAAGTATGAATATATCATTATACTTACAGTTTTCATAATTTTCATGTTACAGTTAATATAACAGCAACTGTTACTTTCCTGGCAATTTTACCTATCATACTGACTTTATATGACATACTATTTACCCCTAATTAGGGCTATTTATAAAACCAATACCAGATACCTATAACTTTATGTTCCCCAAATTTAGTGCCAAATTGGTTTTGAATAGATGTCATGGTTTTACTAACAAAGGGTTATCAAAGGAATATTATCAGTTTTTACCAGATGTCGAAACTCTTCTAATTTCTCTGACATAACTATTAACAGCTACACTCAATGTAAATCAAACTTTTCTTTTTGAGCATGCCTTGCTTTTAGAAATATACATCAACAGATATATTCAAATATAAAAATTCAGTTTTATGACAAAAAAAGGAAAACATCCACATAGAATTTTTATTCTATTTTTTACTTCATCTTTTAAGACCTAATATTGCCCCCTCCCCCCTCTAAAATTGACAATTTTGTTTCTGTGTGAATGTTTCTTCACATTTCTGAGATATGAAATCAATTCTCATTACGATACTGTTTCTTATCTATAAAACTGCTTTCCTGTTTTGTCTTGAATAATTATGGAATATGTATACATAAACAATTTCATTGAACTTTAGAAACAAATTTCTAGGTCACTAAATAACCTAAAATTCAGTTATCAAAAACCAAATGAAAGAAAACATTGCTCTATAAATACATGGAATTTGAAATAAATTCTAATTCCTTCTTCATTACATAAAACAAATACTTAAGAGCTAGACTAATTGTAAACTTCACATCTATAGAAGAAGGTTTCAAAGTTACCTATCTGAAATCATACATTACAATCTTTGAATTTCATACCTGCATGTCTGGCATACTTTACAGTCTGGGCATTGCCACCCTGTTCGTACAACAGGGTTCACAAGTACTGGAGGTTTAAGGCAGTTTCCATGGTAGTGGTAGCCACAACTACCACAAAAAAGAAGTTCTAGGAGATTTCCTGGTTCTTTGCATGAATTGCAGATAACTTTTGAATCATCTAGTAAAAAATATCAAATCTAATAACCCTCTTTCTCTCAACACAGACTTTACATTTGTAGAATATACACGGAAGTATAAAATATTTGCAACTTAAATGCATACATAATAATGTTTAACTGTAAAATCAAGTTTATTAATTCATTTTCTTTATGTTCATTTGTTATGTTTATTTGTAAAGAGAAACAAACACATTTAAATCTAACCAAAAAAAAAGAAGCTTAACAGGAAAGTTCTCTTAATGTTTAGTATATACACACACACATCTACATACATATATATGATTGTATGTAAAAAATACAACTTTAACCCTCTTGCTACAGGCAGGTCAAAGTGTGAAATGTTTCAAAGAGTTATATTCAAAATTTAATTAAGCTATTTTATTATCATGGTATACAAATAAACTTGGCATAAGAACATAGTTAATAAATCAAATTTTGATATTATATAAGTTTTGTGTTCTTAATTTTATAAGGAAATATTTTTAAAAAATCCTCAATCTTACACTAGTATCAGAACTGTAGATTTTGCTCTCTAGGTATTCCCTCTTCTAAAATTTATCTACCATCCCTTGGAGAAGTATGGAATTTAACTTAAATTACTCATTATAATATTGTTATCACTCAGTCAAAGCATAATTTTTATAGCCTTCAATCTTAATTTGTTACAGAGCCATAAAATAGAAAATCCACCTCTCTTGCATGCCCACCTGTCACATCCACTCTTTAACAAATTGCCAATAGTTCTTTCTGACATTTAATACTTTATTATTTATATCCAATAGAAAGTCAAACTTTTAATCTATCAAATGATGTATCATATTATATTGTTTTCTGGCTCTTATCACATAGCTAAAAATCCAGAAAAATTATGATAATTATGGGACATTGTCTGCTTTTTATATTATCTAAGTTTTCATTCCTTCATTTTAAAAGAAACTTTCAAATATTATTTAAAACTTGAGTTTTGATATCTCATTATGTGCTCGAAGTTACAATTCTCAATTTTAAGAGCTGGTATAGAAGAAACTGTATGTGTAAATGTAGAAGTTCTCCCCGAGACATTCTAAGCATAGTGTATACAGGTTGTTTACAAGTTATTTAAGAATGTTCCAAGAACTTGTCCCTGAGATAATGGTTGTGAAATTTTTCTCACTTCAAGCTAAGCCACACCCACTTGCAAAGTAGAATCTGTGTTGCTAAGTGACAGTTTTAAATTGAATGGCATGTTTATAACCAACAGAAAGATCAGATTTCCAGTTGATATGTCTCTAAGTTAACAGTAAATGTAGACATATATATCAATTTACAGATGAGGCAAAATAAAGCTTAATCCATTGTTGAGAGCAGGGTCTCAAGCACTTGGCTATTTTTTCTCACCATATACACATTAGTTTGATAGACAGTTGGACTGCATTTCGGTTTTACTTTTATATTTTAGTTAATTATGTATAATTTGTGTTTTTAAAGTCATATAGGAAAGGATTAATGATTTTTAAAATTTATTCTATATTTTTCTCAACCAGCATTCATAAACATAGCAAGAGCAAACAACATTTTGCCCGAGGCTAAGATTGTCAATGTTAATGGTATATTGCCCACAGGCACCTGTTGATGCGTATCAACATAAATAATAAAAATTAAAAACACAAAAAAAGTAAAGCATTAAAAATAAACTGTAAGTGAAAAGGTTGAGTTAAAATGTATACATTTCTTAATTTTAAGCATTTCATTGCACTGTATGGTGATGATAATAGCTAGAGTAGAGAAAATTGAAAATAAAATATAAATATTTACTTTAAAAAACTTTTGATGAGATCCTAGACATTATGCAAGTGAAATGTGAAAACTGAGATAATAAATAGTATTTTTATACTAAAAATGAAAATCTCGTTGCAAGTGAACTATTCATACTCTGAGTGCAAGTAACTACATTAAATAATAGAAAAAAGTCAAAATTAAATATTTTATTTTTCCTATACTACATACTTTCATGAAAGTTCTTCTCAAGTTTTAAATAATTTTATCCACTTGTTTTATATTTGGAAAGAAATATAACAGGAGTTATGTAACATGCTGCACTTTGTAGCACATCATTGTTATAAAATTAAGAGCTTACTCAAACAAAATTTGACAATCTTCGGATGAAGAAAAGTATTTTTTCATCTCAACATGAAACACATTTGGATTCCATATATTCATGGAGAAATCTTTAGTGAAAATACTTCATTAAAAATTCTGATGTTTTTTCTACAAAAGACTCTTAATTCTTACTTAAAGCTTGCAAAATTTCATGAAGATACACAAAACATATTAGAAGTTAAAATATTAAAACTATGAAGGACAATAACTCAGCCAAATTGACCGAGCCTGTAGTGAGAAAGATAATGTGTTTATCTCTCTAGTCTCAGCTGTCTTGGAAGTAACCTAAATTTGAATGTGATGCAACATTTTGCTCCTCCATACACAGGCATTCCCACATATTATTATAATTTTCTGACTTAACAAAGAAGCTTCAAATAAGATGTTATCTACAATTTTAATAAATACCTTTTAGCTCTGTAACTAAAGCAAATTAAACAAAAATATATATTATGTATTCACAGATTAAATATGTTCCATGCATAAGAAGATATAAAACAGACAATACTTTAACACTATCCTCTAAGATACAGAATGTATTTGTAATCATTCATCCAAACATAATATTATTTTTTAATTCTTTTGCCGTTAAAAAAAAGGAGTAAACATCAAGTAAAATATGTCAATGCATTATCAAACATAATCAGTATCTCTGATTTTGTGAACCATTAGTTATTTGTATACAATAAAACATAAACTGAAGTTTTTCCCTTTTTTTTTGGTTAGTTACCCTACTTTTAAAATAACAAGATACAAGTTATAAGTACCTGTTGTTTGACTTAATAAAGAAAGAGATATATTCAACCTCTGATAAAGATATAGAAGTATGTGGATTTTATCAACTTACCAACCGTGGATGCCAGATTCAAATGCAAAGGACACCATAGGGTAAGGGTTTTCATATCCTATTAAAAACACATAGCACAACCAAATTATATTAACATGCAAGTCATTTACTCACAAATAATAATAATGAAAAACATCACAAATGTACATAAATTCACATTTTCTATAACTTAGCTTTTCAACCATATTTTCCACCATACGATATTCCCACTAAAGACAGTTATCTCTTTTAAGATATGATTAACTGAGGAAGGAATACAAAACTTTAAAGTGTATAACAGACTATTCAAGATAAATTATTGAGTCTTTTTTTAATGACAATAATAAATTGTAGCACTCACAATCTAACAATGCTAATATTCAACAAAATAAATCTGCTGCCAACTTAAAAACTTACACACAGTCATTGCTTAATTATAAAAATAATTATATTTCAGAAAACTATTTCTCTAAAACTGTTAATTTGGTATGGATGAATTTGTTTAATTTTTTTTTCTTTTTCCCTTATGCTTTAAAACTTTTAGAAATGTACTTAAGGAATGGTGAATTTCAAGAAGAATTAGAAAAATAAAGCAATTAGCTTTACCAATACAAGTTTTCTTTTTGGAAAAACAAAATTCAGAAAACCCATTCCTTCAACCACTACTAAGTTTATGATACAGGATGGTATCACGTTTTCTATTCCCTCAGTTAATATGCAAATTTTTCAAAGTTTATATTTTTTTTCCTTCATTTCAGTTTGGACATGGAAAGTCATTCAAGCAAACAAATTTTAACTTTGCACCTGACAAGCTCTGTCTAGGATCTCATCTGCTAATTGTCAATTCACCAAGTTTCTTGCAGAGAAGATAGATGTGACATACAGTAACAGAAAATTGTCTTTTCTGTCATCAGATCAGATAATAGTCCAGGTTTTCCCTTGCCCCAGCATGCAAGCATGAGTGAACAAAGGTCACATGCAGAAGAGATTTCATATGGAAACCTAGCTTAAGTTGTTACTGCATTTTCTAATATTAAAAATCAGTTTCACCTTTGCTTAGTAGATTTTGTCCAAAATTTTCAATTTAACTTTGGTTTTTTTTGTTTTTTTATGAGAGTGAATGTTGTTTTAGTTTAGTTGAGTTCTAAACATTTTTTGTTTTTAAATATTCTTATAACTTTTAGTGTATTTTTATTTTGTAGTTTCACTTAGTTGTAGATTATCTTACAGGTGGAGGGGGCACACTGGACTGGTGAAAGAGAAAGCTCACTTAGGTTTCATTTCCCCCCTCTCTCTCACCAATCTAACACAGCCACAACAGAAACACTCATCCTTGTTTTACCATTTAATATGTCATTGTATTTTTGTTATTTGTTAATAAAAACTGTTCTTGTGCACCTTCCATGTTCCACTATTTCTTCCTGACAAACTCGGTTAAGAGATGAACAAACACACACACACTCTGTAACTTAGTATCCTTCGAACCTCTAGTTAGCTGGCCCTAATCAAGTACTCTGAGGGAAATTCACCAGCCTGAAAATACCACAAGAGCCTCTAATGGCCTCTAGATCCCTGGCCTTATGCCTTTGTGAAAAAGTAGTTTACAAAATCTCTAGAGAGAGAACAAATATTTTCTAATATTACTGGTTATACATAAAATATTTCTAATAATACTGGTTCATCTTTCAAAATTAGGAAAGTTAACTTATTAAATACTCATTAGCAAGACCTCAACTAAAATCATGACTAAACATAACTACGAATTAAGGTAGTATTCAAAAATGGTAATCAAATTATGTAATACAATTTATCTTTAAAATTTTTCCTCTTATTGGCTGTTACAGTGAAGGTTAAATAAGAGAAAATTGTGTTACAATATGTTCAGTAATGTTATTGATTGATTTTGTTTATTTAACTTTCACTGTAACAACAACCATTTTTAATGGTTTGGAAATGTCTCACACATTTTTACAAAACAGCTGTACTAATACTAACCCTACATACATGGGTGGGAGTCAAAGTGTGCAAGCTATGACCATTTAGAGTGTCCTTTGACATGGTATTATGTAATTGATATATCAGGGTTATCAACTATTTATTATACCCCACAATGCTCATTTAGTGGTAGTTCATGGTAGAAAAGAGTGAATAATAGATACAATATACAGGGATATTGAAAAAACAAACAAACTGAATACAAGTATTTTGTAAGTTATATAGGTTAAGCAAGTGCAATATGCAAATTGTACAATGGACAAACATGTTTTTGTTCATCACATGAACGTCAACTTACACTCTAACTGATGTCTGCAATTCAGACTTATCTTGAATCCAAATACTTTTGTAACACATCTGATTTTTTGTGTACAAACACACTTGTACCTTTTATTAAATGCTTGTCACGTGGTCGTTAATTTAACACATGCAAACAAATAAACAGTACCTGAAAAGCTCCAGATCTTGCAGCACATGGATAATGATATATGTGGTCACATTCGTTTTCTTTACATCTAATAGTAGCCCCAAACGTTTTACAGTAACTGCATCTCTATAGAAACAACATCACCCTCATCAATATTACATTTGACATAGTTAAAAAGATTCAGCAATAAGACTTGTAGTTTCCCAATTACAGAATTCTACATACATACATACAGATAGATTTAAAACTTAAGGTCCATTTTAAACAACTAAGAAATAAAAGAAGTTGGTATGAGATCAAGATTAAATATTTATTTCAATAGGTAACATCAGACCTGCCTACCCATAAAGTTTACTCTCAGTAGCATTCTCCTATCAACTGGTCAATTTTCAGTAGCGAAAGGGGATTTGTCAGATACCATCCTTCTTGGGAAGGGTGGGTGAATGCATTCTCTATTACAATTACAAAAACACATTTTAGAACTCAATAGAGTGAAGTGCAGATCAATGTACACTATTAACTGTCTTCGTCACCTTCCTTGTGTCGTGATTGCTTCTTTCATCTGAGAAAAATCATTTATGGGCAGTGGTTTGCTTCCCGCAGAATAAAACATCAGGGCTTACATGCAGTTGTGCATGGAGGATTTAACCCTGTCGCCCCGGGTACCCTTTACTATGCATGACACAAGGTATTGGTGTCTTCAAAATTTTATTAAACTACTTTTTATTCATGCTATACCAAATGAAATCTTAGCTAATAATACATATTTTACTAGTATACAAGTTTTAAGCTCTTAATTCTACAAGAAAATATTTTTAAAAATCCTGAATTTCCACTAGTGTGACCCACATGACACATTTTGTCTTAGCATGTTATCATCCTTATTTTATCCATCACTCCTCGAATATGTACGAAATTAAACGTAAAATACTCTATAAAATCATTATTGCTCAAACAAACCATCATTTTTATATCCTTCAATTTTGTTTGGTTACAGAGCTATCGAATAGAAAATCAGACCCCTCCTGCCACACCCACCTGTCACATCCTCTCTTTCACAATTCGTTGATAGTACTTTCTTACATTTCATTATATATTACCTATAACCAATAGAAAATCAAGGTTTTCATCTATCAAATGACATATTGTATAACATTGTATTCTGAATGGAATATTGTCAATTTCACTCACAGTGCAAGATTCATTCCCGTGGGAAAGTTAACGACTAGCTTTGATGAATTTGTAACGGCTCTTGTTGCATAGTTAGAAAGCCAGGAAAAGTTTGAGAGAAAAGTGAATTTGTTTACTTTTTGCATGTTATTAGTCTATATTCTTTGGTGCACTATTTAATTAAATAAAAATTGTTAAGTGCATTGCTACAATTACAATAAAAAATCTGGCTTAACTCTCGTCGACAATCGAGGGCAAGAAAAAAGAAGACTAGGTAAGTACTTTATTTCTTGTTTTTCATATTTATTCTTTATTTATCATTATAAAAGTAACTAAATTCTAAAAATATGGCTCTTTTTAAGTTATGTAAGACTAGATCAAGTAAAATAATAATATAATTAAAATGGTTCACGAGGCACAAACGTGATCAGCTCGTGGGTAATGTGATTCGATAGCGTAATGTGAGCTGCACTTTCTCCGAGTGATTTACAACTTATAATGGCACTGATAGTAGTTAGACACAGTTCAAAGGGCAATAAAACCATAAAATTTAATTATAAATAGATATACAATGTTACGAACTTAGAGCTACTTAGAATAAATGAGTGTAGTTTCACGTTACAATTTGAAGTCATTCTAGAAAGAAAAAAGGTTAATTTAGGTTTATTTCGATTTTTTGGTGTGTTTTTTTGTGGTTACAAGGTCAGTCAAATTGACCGATCTCGTTTTGTGATAGAGTAGAGAAAATAACAGATAAACTATAAAGTTTTACTGAAAAAAAGTTTGAAATGCATTTAGGACGTTTTAAGGATCACAAAGGAAATTTGAGATTTTTGAGATGAGGAAAAGGATTTTTGATTTTAACATGAAAATCACTTTGCACATGGACTATTCAAAACAAATACTCAATATAGTCATGGACAAAACTTTATTTTATTAAAAAATACTTCACTATGAAATATGACTTTTTGTATGTGAAAGACTTGTAATATTAACTGAAAGACTGCCAAATTTCGTGTACCCAATAAACTGAGAGTAATGAGTTTTAAATTTATAAAGACTTTAAACGAGTATAAAAGGTCATGTGACTCGGTCAAATTGACCAACCCCATGTTGAGAGAGTTAAAGCAAAATGAAGACTTTGAATGAACTGAGTACACTGTATGACTCCATAGTCACCATAACTGTTTTAAAATTACAGTAGCTGCATAGCCAGAGAGCATTTTACATAGCATCTACAGTGAAATTGTAGCAGTAGGCAGGTCTGTAACACTTTTAAATCATCAAAGTTGTCCTTCAACTAACAAATATATAACGATTTTTTTTTTAATTCTTGGATTAACACATCTTTCTATCAAATTTTATTAATATTTCACATTTATTTACAAAATCACTTGTATTTTTATTAAAATTACGTGCATAATGAGCACCATCTACAAGTTTTTCCTTCACTTACTGACAAGTATTGTTTTGAAAAAGAAGAAAAATTAAATTAAACAAGTATGAGAATACCTTTAATAATTACCATCACTGCTTGTATCTATGTAATTTATTTAACAAAAAGCCGATGTAAAATATAAATTCTTGAATTTTTTTATTAAATTTCAATCAGTACAAGTTACTTTGCATCAAATTAATGTTAAGAAAGAGCTCCAAAAGACTTATTTGTTTACTAAGTCAAAAACTAAAATGAAAATGAAATATAATAACTGATACAAAACATATAAACTTTACTTTGGTATTGGTTTGTAGTAGATTACTTCTGGGAACAAAACTTGTACTACAAATACGAACAGCAGTTTCAGAAAATGTTAGCTCTCATCAGTTTAACTAAAGAGAATATCCTTCATGCAGTGGAGCTTTAAATTATTTCATGTATATGAGGTAGAAAACGTAAGCTTGTTTTCGAAATAGGTAAGTAAAATGAAGCATTTTCTACTCAGTATGAAATTAGGTATATTCTCTCACATTTATAATGAAGTCCACTAACCTGACTCATTCCTGCTAAAACAGCTTTTTCAGTATTAGCAAGACCATAATCCTCTCTCTGATGGACACCCTCTGACCAGGTAGCACAACAATGATGAGCATAAAAATGTCCTATAACAATTTAAAATACTAGTTATTTTGAAAGCTAAAATGTTTAATATAAATCTATAAATAAATTCCATTACTTTAAGCATATTAAGCTTATGATTTTCAGATCCTTTGTAAACATTGGTATACCTAATTTCAATTAGAATCACTTGAAGAACAGATGGTACAGTAAATAATCAAAACTACTGGTTGAATTTATGTTGCTGTTTTTGACATCTTTCTCTTAACCTTTTCCAACATGGCTTTTATAGCAACATTGTACTGCTATGTTAGTTAAGCATTATTTCAAGCAATTTTAATGATAATAAAAAACTTTCAAGAACGTAAGAATGTCGTCTGTTTACAAAACATTCAACTTTACTGATCACTGAATAAGGTTTATCATTTGAATTTCACAATCATGTTTCAAACAAAATATACACTAATCTTCATGACAGTTTAAATTAGGGATGCAAATAAACCTGAAAAAAGGGTAAACATTTCTAGTCTGTGGCAATAAAACAAAAGAAATATACATTATTTTATCAACTTCCAAACTATAGATTTGAATTGAAAGTAATTTTCACTTCCACTAACTAAAATGTTTTAAAAATCTATTGTTCTTGATAATTTTTGTCTTTTGGATAACTTGGCATCTACTTCTCAAAAAAAAAATGTGAAAAACAAGTCTCTCTCCCAATTTTATTTTATAATTAAGTCTACCCAAGTCCATCTTGTTGTATCAAATTAACTAAATTGGATTATGTTCCTGATATACCCTGTCACCATTAAAATTACGACTCTACTTCATTATATGAATGTCGACTCTAACTAAAGCTATTTTGCAAATGGTATAAAGTACCATGTGTAATATATTATACATATTTTGATAGAGCATTAAATGCTTTAAAGCAAGATAATTTTTTTTATGCACATAATTACAATTCAAATGCCTTGATGGCTTCCTGAAGTTTGTAAAAATCATGATTGTACTTCCATTGTCATTTCCAAACAGCTTGATGTACACCCACAAATTTTGGCATATGTGAATAAGTCTATGGCTTTAATATAATAGAACTGATGTATTACCAAATTTTTATATTTCATTTTGCAAAATATCTTGTTTTGAAAATCATAATTTTTGGAATACAATGCTTTATTGGCAAGTGAACT